ACACACACACACACACACACCCCATACCATAACCTCAGCATCTGACAAAGAACATTCAGGGAACAGCAGGGGGAACTGTCTGTATTGAACACAGGCATACATTTTTTTCTTGTCAATACTCCTTAAACAACACAGAATAACAATTATTTACAGAGCACTGACAATGCATTTGTAAATTTAAAGTATACAGGCATATGTGTATGTGTTACATGGAAGAAAAAAAACCACTCTATCTATGCTAGATGTGTAAGCAGATCTGGGTGACCGAGCAGATCCTGAAACTAATCCCTGCAGACACTGAGGAACAACTATGTCCCCTTCTGGCTGATAAGGGAAATCTCAGTTCAGACTGGTTAGGTTAAATGACATGCCCAAGGGTGCACAGGCAGTAAATAACAAAGTGGCCTGGAACCCAAGTTTTCTAACTACAGACTTGGGGTTCTTCCAGCTGGAACTTAGAACTTTCTAAGAAGATGAAATTTGTTTTGTGCAATAATTGATAATCATCTGCATCTGGATTTGAAGCAGCCATGATTACAATGCTTATTATGACTAAATACGCCAACTGATAACCACCAACAAATTAGTGTGTTGTGATATTCAATTCAAACTGGTGTTTCACTGAGCCCAACCAAGGATTCACAAGCTTTGGCACTTTAAAAAAAATATACCTCTTAATTAGCTTTTGAGCACAAAAGAAACATCCCAAATAACCATTCCGCAATATTCAAAAAAGTCCCTCTGAGACACGCTAACATGTTGAATATCATACTCTATATTTAAATTAACAGTTCTATCCAAAGTCAATATAGACAAAACAATAATGTTTTTTCTTAATTGGTACATACTGACTGTTTCAATTTAGCTTTTGCAGCTGTCTCTTGACTCACACTGCTATTCAACATGTCAAATTAGCTCTACTGCTTACTGGCCCGGTGACTTAGGACAACCCTGCTAGGCATTTGTTTTCTGATCTGTAACGTGTATGTAATTATACCTATGCTGTACACAGATGTTAAGATTCAGCATAGCGCAGAGAAGCACCTGCAAGTCAACCTCCCTTACAGAGAAAAGCTTACAATCACTGGTGTTGTGAGCTTTGAGCTTGAAATCCTGTCTTTCCTCTCCCTCCCTTAATATCTGCATGACTAAGTACAAATGGGCCTTTTCTATTTCCTACTCCCGTGTCACTCCCAATGCCAACTCCCTATCTCTCCTGGGGTCCCTAAAACAATTCCCTGACCTTCCTCTCATTGTGTTGATTCCCTTCAGGAAGAAGGCAGTACTCACTGCTGTTGACTCCATGATCAGCTGATAAATCTTATTTTGTGTATGAGTGTTTTGCCTGAATATGTAAATGCACTGTATGGGCGTGTCTGGTGTCCATGGAAGCTAGAAGAAACAACTGGATCCCCTGGAACTGGAATTAAGGATGGGGCAGTTGTAAGCCATCAAAGTAGGTGCTGAGAATGAAACCCAGGTCACCTACAAGAGCAGTGAGCACTCTTGACTGATGAGCCATCTCTCCGGCCCAGCATGATAATTCTTGCTTGGGACCAATCAAGGAAACCTCAAATAAAACCACCTGAGAGTTGGATTTGGGCCAGCGGGGGAGTGTATACACAATTTCTTCATTCACAAATTACACAACTGAGTTTCCCCAATTTTGGGAATTTGCAGGGGTCAACACATCCAAAATGCAATGGATCACACCTAAAATGCAATGGATATTATCTGAAATGCAATCTTCTTCATGATCTTGGTACCTTCCCTGCCAAACCTTTTTCTTTCAGGATCAAGATCTAAAAACCACAAACTTCCCTTTCTTAAACATGTGATCAACTATCAGGAATTCACAGAGCTATCTTCATCAGCTCTCTTTTTCAGAACACTTGAATCCTGAATCCACTGAACTATTCAGCTCCTGCAGTTCCTCCTCGTATAACCCTTATTGGGAATAATAAACATTTGATAGGGAAAACCTACTCATACAGTTCTCTGTGTGTACAATTAAATATTTGAGACAGCTGAGAGACAGGTTAAGTGGCAAGGAACCTAACTAAAGAGATGAGAAGATACTGAGACTCAAGAAGGGACCCTTCTGAGAAACAGGACTACTACACACATTTGCAGATAAAAGGCTGAAGGGGAGGCGAGAGGGACTGTAACTTTCACATAGCACAAGGTGCTATACAATTCATATACTTTAGATCATGATTGGGTCTTATGTCCACTACCAAATGAGGACAGTGAGATTCAGAAAGGTTAACCGAGAAGCAAACAGCTACTTGTGGTTGAAGCACAGTCACAACTGCAAATGTTCTTTCTATTACACGTTAAACATGAGCTTAGTGCAGAAAAGCCTTGCTCTTCAGGGCCAGGCAAGAAGGGGATGATCTGGACACTGGCTTGGCAAACTGATCCTCTTCTGGTAAAGGAGGAAACCTATAGTTATTCCCAGTGCTGCCTTTTGCTTTAATTTAAAGACAGGTCACTTGGTTCCCTGTTAAAATGCAGGCTCTGTAATTTAGAGCTGTTCTGAGTGATACATGAAGTTCTCACCTCTCCTAGGTGACTCATGATGAAGCTAAGGTACCTGGTCCACACTCTAAATAGGTTACTCTGCGTGGTTCTCAATCCTTAGTGATAATTGGGCAACCATTTAAAACTATTGAGTTCTGGGCCTCTTCCTTCTGGGTCCCAAATTATGTAGAAAAGGTCCCAGATTGATTCTAATACCAAAGTGGGCCCACTGGACTATCCTATCCCAGATAACTTGCTTCTCATAGTTCTTCATCTCAAAAAATACATTTTTGTGTGGTGTGTGTACACCCCTGAGATGCATGCATGTGTAAGAGTTTTCCCACGTATGTGAACACATTGTGTGTAGGTGCAAGTTGGCTAGTGCGTGTGGAAGACTGAAGCTGATGGAGGTTGTCTTCCTCAATCTATAAATTTTGTGAAGCTGGGGCTCTCACTGAACCCAGAGTTCACCAACTGTGGCCAGTGAAGCCAGCCTGCTTGCTGTGGGAATCCTGTCTCAGCCTCCCACACTGGGAACACAGGCAGCCACAGCTGCACATGATGCTGAGGACCCAAATTCCAGTCCTCACCTGCACAGCAACCACTTATCTACCAAGCCATCTCCCCAGTCCCTGTTAGGTCTTAATACTTTTCAAACATTTTATTTAATTATTTTGGGAGAGGGAGATATGCCACACTATGCACAGGGAGGTCAAAGGACAGTTTGTGGAAGTCAGTCCTCTCCGTCCACCCTGTAGGTAGGTCACAGGGATCAAGCTCACCATCAGGCTTAACGGCCTAACCCACCGAGCCCTCACTGACCTCTTTTGTTTTAGGATACAAGGTCTCTAAATGTAGCCCAAACTGACCTTGAACTCCTAACTTTCCTGCCTCAGCTTCCTCTGTGCTGCAATTCCAAGAGTGTCCTATCACACCAGCTTAAGAAATAGGCTTTATTAAATGACCAGTCAGCAGGCACTGAGAACATACAAAATTTGGAAATGTTTTATATATTGGTTTGCTTAATCCTCAAGCTGCATTTTGAGGCTGGTTCTTACATCACAGCTCATATATATGAGGAAAAACAAGGTAGCAAGAAACAGTGACTTGTCCACGGTCAGCTCGAGAAGCTCAGGTCTGGACTCGGGCCACTCTGATCCCGGCACCTAGGCTCTCAAACACACAGACTGCACTGCCCAGTGGTACAGTGGAACAAATCAACCCAAGTGGGTCACCTCGGAGATGTCATCCAGGGAAAGCTAATGCTCGTATTCTCACATGCTACCATTATTCCAAACATCACTGCTAAACTACAGCACACCACAGTTCTTGTTCAGAAAACAAAAATGCCTTCAGAACCGACACGTGCTTGAAATAGCTTTAACTGGGATAAAAGCCCATTTGAGCATGGACATAATCAGGAAAAGCCAATTCTGACTAAGTTTTTTGGTGGAAAATTCAGTTAGATTTGGAAAATATTTTCCTCCTCACTGGTCTCTGAAGCCGACTCAAACCAGTTCTTTCTGTCATGCACAATGCTTCTATCGCCAGAGCCCAGGTGACTGTTTGAAGGACAGTCAGTACTCATCTGGATGCACAGATTCTGTCACATGTTTTCCTTTTAAAAATCATCCTTTTAGTCACATCTAAACAAATTCATTTGTCCTTGGCTACCAATATGAACATGTATGTGCTCAGAACTGTCTTGAAGCATATAGTTTTTCTCTCTGCTGAAAAGCAACTGCTTTGATTTCAGAATTTAAGTGTTTTATTTACACCCATCCATATAAAAATAGGTGCTATAATTTGGCATTAATGAATCATTTAATTGCATGTAGTATCATAAAAGAAATAGTGCAAAGGTAACTAAGTACATTTCTAAAATATGCACCCAAATACCCTCACATACAAGGGATAAAAGCATACACAAATACTATAGGGATTTAGCTATAAAAAGATATTACATTTTTATATCTGGTGAGCTCCTTTGTGGAAGAAATATGTCCTTTCTCAACAAAGAAAATATTCTGCAAATTCAGAAATGATTTACGAATTTTTTTCTCAAACAAGCATTAATGCAGATCAGCATATAATTCCACACAACCAACCTCTGTTTGAACTGGACTCCCCACACCTTATTGAGGCCAACGTTCCCCTCGACAAACTCCCACTCCACCCCCACCATACACACACCCAACGCCCCACCAACCTCACAGGGGTTCCTGGGCTGGTCCATGGAATCTGATGACATCACTCTCTCTTCCTTCCTGGAATTCTAAACCCTGCTGCTCTCCCCTTGCACACAGCTACCATCTCCATGGCAACCTCACCTCCTCCTGCTTCCCTATTGGCTTCATGGAGCAGGATACACAAAAAGGTTTTCCGTTCTGCCCCCACTGCCCGCCCGCAAAAATGATGCTTTCAACAGGAACCTGGGCTAAATTTAGCCACTTGCGATTCTGAGTCTTATGACTAAGAAAACATAGAAATATCCTCCTTCCTATATTCTACCCGCCCCTAAACCACACCCCAAATTGGTTGTTTCTCCTCCTGTCTGGCCCCCAACTCAAACAGCAGTATGTGCTGAGCCTTCAAAAATCAACCAGATGGCTTGCCCCACATACAGAGAACATTCCCCACTCACCTCCTCCCATCAGGAGAGGAAAAAACAGAACAATAACAAAAACACCGTTGGGGCATTTCATGTAGGGAACATCAGTCTGCTGACTCCTTCCACCCTAAGCCAAGGAGAGAAAAGCCATGCCTACAGGCAGAACAGTATCTACCCTCTGACGGAACTTCCTCCATCACAGAAACAGGAGTGGGGAGGTGAGGATGAAAGCCGACACACTGCAAATTCTGCATCCAAATGCTCACCTCCCAGGCTGACCTCCTATGGAAACTCGAGCAGACTCTCACACCCATCATCTACAACATAGCTCCACACAAGGATGCTCTCAAAACTGCTGACTAAATGGTAAGTAGTTTAGGTCCCTGAGCCAAAGGGATTGAGGAAGTTGACACCATAAGCAAATTCCTGAAATCTTAATGAGAAGTCTGAAACTGCCACAGAAGATGAACTTCTAGAAAACCACTTTTTCATAATGCCGTAAAATATGTATATGCTCTCTCAAATCCCTGGACAGTCTCTTCGAAGGTCTCCACTCTGGCGCTGGTCTGTGCCTAGTGTGCATCTGGGACTGATCCTACTCTTGCCTTAATCCAAGCTCTAATTCTAAAGTGGCTCCCACTCTCCCTAAACAACAGGTAAATTTGGACCAGGGCTTTGCTTCTCAATCCAGCTATCCATTTCCATCTAGGAAGGGATTCTTTCTCAGAAACTACTTGGTTGATTTAAACTAAGCATGTCCTATATGACTCTGAAAGACAAAGCATAAGCTGTAACTAAGTTGGAAATGCATCAAGTAGGTCAGGGCCTTATATCAGAAAAGGGGATGAATAAAAATAAGGCACACCCAGGAAATCTGTGGTTTTGTTACAGGGTAGAAATCCAGCTCCAGGACACCCGTTTTCCAAAGCAGGGTGGCATCAACGTAGCATAATTCTGCATGGCAAAAGATAGTGTTTTCAAACTAATACACAAAGCATCTAGAATGAGCTTCAAAAGTACATGAGAGACACTGAAGACTCTCATCCCAACAGTAGGGGTAGATATGATTAGCTTGCCTCTGAGATGGAGGTAGATGCTCTCCAAATTCACCCCTAACAAACCAGTCCTTAGGTGAAACCACTCTCAACAACACTGCTGTAGAGGTGACTCCATAGATTAACTATGATAAGCATAATTCTTTATAAAATTATATGCATATTAATTAATATTTATTTATGTTATTTATTTATTCTTATTTTATGTGTATTGGTGTTTTACTGCATGTATGTCCATGTGAAGGTGTCAGGTCCCCTGGAACTGGAGTTACAGAGAGTTGTCCTCTGGAAGAGCAGCATGAACTCTTAACCACTGGGCCATCTCTCTAGCACCAAGAACAATTCTTAACTCTCAGAGATGGTCACCTTATTCTACATGGGAAGACCCAAGTGGCCTGAGACTATCCATCATATCAGTCACTGAACCTTTATACAAAAAATAATGAGTTGTATATATTCTTATTTCCATTCTGAAAATGGAAAAGTTCAAAAAGTCAGTGTGTCTAGTCTCTCTGAACTCCAGAACCTATGCAGTTTTTCTACTCCCAATCACACACAGTCATAATTATAAAGAAATGTCTCAAGTATCATTTTGTGTCTATGTTCTCTTATATCATCAATAAAACATAAGTTGTTGGACATAAAAGTTAATGTCATACTTTTGATGTATTAATAACCATAGTTAACTATAAGTGGGTACTCAATACTTATTAATTTATTATTCTAATCCTATTATTCTAAACTTCTGAACAAATGGTAATGATTTTACTCAGATCTTTTAAATTAAGATTAGCTTAAAAAATTACATGCTGAAGTGAAATGCCAAAACTTCGGATAACATATTCTGGAATTTAATTTTCTTCTATTTGAGATAAAAAGACAATTATCAGAGTCTTAATGCCTATACTGACCCAGTCACAACGTCATAATGCCTATAGAGTCTCATTTGCTTGTTCTGCTCTGATGGGGAGCTGTTGTAAATGGGTTTTGGTGCCTGGAATGGAACCCAGGGCTTCACACGTGCTAAGCACGAGCAGCTCTCTACTGACTGAGCTATGCCTCAGCTCATCCATCAGCTTTACTCCAGAAACCCTAATGCAGTCAGAGTCTATATTAAATTTATAATTTCCACATTCTACATACAGAATCAGAGCAATTCTGCAGGGATTTCACTAAAATTAAATCAGGTGATTAGAGGACCATGCCAAAGAGGCCAAGGTCACATGTCTGGTACTCGTGGAATCCAACTGGCATCACTCTCTCCTACCGCCACACACAATTAATTATAAACATGTATGCTTGCTTTTACCAAAAAGTAATGTAACCTACATCTTCTGAAAACAAATTCAAAGCATGCATCTACCAATACCATGTAATATAATTCCCTTTATCCTTTAGAAAACAGATACTGACTTCCAATATTAATTAAACACCTATCATAAGCAAGTCTCAAAAGATAAGTGCTTTAGGCAAATAAACACAACAATGAATGACATGCAACACAGCAAAGATATTCACTTGTAGGGGGTGGGTAAGCCACGTGGTTAGCACCAGAGGATGCATGAAGCAGAATTTATTAGGTAGAAAATTCTTAGGTAAAGAATGAAGGTAAAGGCATCTCAGGGAGAGAGAACAAAGAGCACAAATGAAGGAGGAGAGCAAGGCAACACAGCAAACATAGAGAACTTTCGGGTTCATTGTAAAGGCCAGGTTAAAAGCTGAGAGAAATGACCAGTTAAGAGAAGGCACAGGCAATCTCTCCTAAAATCTTCCATAGCAGATAGGGTTTGCCTAGAATGTCTTTTCTGTCAGATCTCCAAAAAGTAATAGGTTAAAACATTTTTATTTATTTATCTATCTATCTATCTATCTATCTATCTATCTATCTATCTATCTATTTATTTATTTATTTATTTATTTATTTATTTATTTTGGTTTTTCGAGACAGGGTTTCACATTTTAATGTCAGCTAGATGTGGTGGTGCACACCTTTAATCCCAGCACTGAGGCAGAGGTGGGCAGATTTCTGTGAGTTTGAGGCCAGCCTGGTCTACAGACTAGATTTAGAACAGCCAGAGCTACACAGAGAAAGCCTGTCTTGAAACACAAAACAAAAAAACATTTTAATGTTATATGGATAGTTCTTATCTTTAAAGTATCCATGGTGAAATTAAAGGCCAAAATGAAGTTATGTCCTGAAAACGAAGCCTCTAGCAGCTAAGAACACTCATGAAGAATGTTCTTCTGTCCAGAAAACAAGTCTAAATTTGCTGTCTGGTAAGGATAGTGAACATTTTCTTGCTCTTCTCAGAGACCTGGTTTGAAAGTAAACTGGAGTTTATTTATCACATCTCTTTTCCTATGTCTCTTTAAAAAGATTATTAGCATGTTGACTATCTGGCAAGGAAATTACCATTTTCAAAAAGCCCCTTCATCCTCATGCAATACTCTAACACATAAATGTATGTGCATATTCACATCTTACCAGTTGAACAGATGAAGTACACCACATCTAAGGAGCCAGCCATCTATTAGCTGCAGCTATCACAGGACGTAAACTTTTTGCTAATTATATATATGCAGAAATCCTGTGTGTACAATGTTAATACGTTCTCACAAAGTGAGCCCGCCCCAAGAGAAACCTAGCACCCAGAAAAGAGAAGAAAACCTACTGGCACCCTAGGTCTGTCTTGTGCCTCTGCAGTCACTCTCAGCTACTCACAACATAACTGACTCTGCTGTGACTTTTCTAGGAATGCTCACACGCCATGCTTCCTTCTGTGAAGCACTGTCTTCAATAACACATGTATGTGTTAAATATCCTAATGTACTGGAAAGCACTTTAGGATGCTGAAAAATAGTCCCATTATTTTCAGCTTGGGCTATGTACAAGCTACTTTTCCTGTGATTATGAACAAACAGCTGACAAGAGGAAACTTATGGTAGGGGGAAGGGGGCTTGCTGTGGCTCATAATTTAAGGGTACAGTCCACCACAGCAAGGAAGACATGGTGGCAGGACGCTGCATGCTCCCACTGGGGCAGATCAGGTAGCAGAGAGATGAATACTGGTGCTCAACTGGCTGTCTCATTTTTTCCTTTTTAACTCAGCCTGGACCCCCAGCAAGGGTTGATGCTGGCCACATCCAGGGTGGGTCTCCTTCCTCAAAGAACAGGTAATGTCACAAGGTATATCTCTAAGTGATTCCAAATCCAGCCAAGTGGGCAACAAAGAGTCACTATCTCAAGTTGTTATGAAAACATGCTGCCATGTACATCCTTGTACATACTCTTTGGGCAATCATACATACACATTTCAGGTTTCTGCTGCTGTGGCAAGGAGTGAGACTGCTGCAGTGCACTCCTGTTTTCAGCTTTGGGAGACACTACCAACTTTTAGTTCTCCAAAGCTATGCTCCTTAACCTTTCCCCAGCACCGCATGAGGGCTCCAGGTGCTAAATGTCTGCCTTCTTCGTTCAGTCATTCAGGAGACAGGGCAACAGAACCTCACTGTGGCCATCTGTTTTACCTTGGAGAAGAGTCATGTGACCATTTCTGAACAGCAGGGTACCATGTTCTGTAAAGTACCTATTCATATATGTTGCCCACTTTACTACTAGGTTGTTTTCAAAAAAATATTTATAGCATTCCTTTTATATACTAAGTTGCAGGGATAACTGACCTATTCTGGATAGCAGCCAAATCTGTGTGTTGCAAATACTTTCTCCTACTCTGTGATTTGCTTTTTTACTTTCTTAAAAGTGTCTCTTAATGAGTAGCTATTCCTAAAATCAATGCATTCAGCTTATCCTGAGTCTTCTGAATAGTCCTTTCAAATAAAGAGTATCATGAAACGATGGCTGTGCTAGCTGGTTTATGCCAACTTGACACAAGCTAAAGTCATCTAGAAAGATGGAACCTCAACTGAGAAAATACTCTCACCAGACTGACCTGTGGGCAAGCCTGTAGTACATTTTTTTGACTGATGATTGATGTGAGCAGTGGCCACTCCTGGGCTGGTGTTCCTAGTAACAAAGCAAACTGAGCAATCATCCATAAGGAGCAAGCCAGTAAGCAGCGCTCCTCCATGGCCTCTGCCTCAGCTCCTGCCTCTAGGTTCCTACCCTGTTTGAGACCCTGCCCTGACTTCCCTCAGCAATGAAGTGTGAGCTGACAGTTTTAGGCTGAAATAAACCCTTTTTTCCTAAGTTGTCTATGGTTATGGTGTTTTAACACAGCAATAGAAACCCTTAGACAGTATCTGTCTGCTTTCTTCTAGAAACTTTAATATAGTGGCATTTAAAATTTACCATTTAAGATTCCCAGGCATATTGTATATCAGATATGTATACATAAAATGTATATGTAAGCTCAAATGTTAAAAGGTCTTATTAATAAAAAAAAACAACAACAACAAAAAAAAAAACTTGGAACTGAAAGATCAGAGAGACAAAGGAACAAGCCACTGCCACATCTTACCTCTAGGACTCCTAGGCCTGAAATTCATGCCTTTTATACCTTTCTCCATCCAGCCATCACTTCCTTCTTATTCCTGGGATTAAAGGTGTGTGGCACCACTGCCTGGCTCTGTTTCTCTTCTAGACTGAGTCAATCTCATTCCAGGGTGGTTTTGAACTCACAGAGATCCAGACAGATCTCTGCCTCCCAAGTGCTAGGATTAAAGTTATGTGCCACCACCACCTGGTATTTATATTTAATTTAGTAGCTTGTTCTGTTCTCTGATCTTTGGACAAATTTTATTAGGGTACACAATGTATCACCACATGTATAAATGAAGTTTCTTCTACCACATAGGTCAGACATCTCAAACTTTATCCCAGGGACTACAGGGGGTCATCAGTCATGAAATAGTATAGCTAAGGGGCCTTCCACAAGGAGTACTATGCAGTTTGGAATTCAGCCTTCAAAACTTTATACATATCTAGATTCAAATACTTCATTACAGGAACAAAAACAAGCTAATAAATTAATTGAGCAATTAAATCAAAGGATTCTGACATCAGAGTGCCCGAAATAAATAATCCTCCATTATATTATCCTAGCTCTGAGCAATTTCTACTTCAACAGAGAACACAAGGGAAAGGCACTACTTTACTACTGCAACTGCCTCTTCAACTCGCATATCTAAAATCCACATCACTTAACAATGTTCTTTTCCTTGTTTTGGTTTTGGTTTTTCAAGACAGGGTTTCTCTGTGTGGCTTTGCACCTGTCCTAGAACTCACTCTGTAGCCCAGGTTGGCCTTGAACTCACAGAGATCTGCCTAGCTCTGCCTCCCGAGTGCTGGGATTAAAGGCGTGCGCCACCATCACCCGGCTAACAATTTTCTTAAAAGTATAAGAAAGATCTTTAAAGGGAAAGTTACAAGTCCAGTATTTTCTAACCCAACTACCTAGTCCACCAATTATGCACTAAATTCCACAATGTTAAAAAAAAATCCAAAGCAAACAAAATAACTAGGTCATTCTAGCCAGAGAAGAGCAGAGAAGGGAAACGTGTATATGTCCACACATGCTGACATGCACCCAGACAACCCTACTCTTTTCCCCAAATGTTCTCTAATTGTCTTGCCCATAACTGTTTATCTCTTTCTTCTTGGTCTTGTAAAGGCTTTACCCTGGTCTTAAGAAGAAGAAGAACCAGTAAGCTAGAGATTTTACACACACACACACACACACACAAACCTTTTTCATAAAAAAAGATTTACAGTCCAATTCAAGATGGGAAGCTGAAAGGGGCTAAATGAAAGAACAGTAGTTAAACCAACTCTGTTAGATGGACAGAGTTTTGAAAGCACAGTTCCTGAATTCTCTTTCTCCACCACTTTACAGTACATCTCAAGACAGAACTTGTTCTCTTCTAAACATGCAGAACAGGGAGAAACACCCACCCGGACTTCTAGGTTGTGAGCACATCCTACACACCAAGCAAGGACCTATTGGTGAGCTTCAGAAAGACTACAAGACAGTAGCAAGGGTCAAGAGAATCCCCTCCCCCTCTTTCCAATGTAGGTGGGTTTGGATCCAGCAGCCTCGTTCACACTGGGCAAGCACTCTACCACTTAGCACACTAAGCTACACCTCCAGTCCTTTCACCTATGTTAAGAGAGGTTCTCACTCACTTGCCCAGTCAGGCTAGACTTGAACATTCAATCTTCCTGCTTTAAGTCTCCTTCGTGGCTGGAAATGCAAATGTACCACAAGACCCAGTTCAGCCGGGCGGCGGCGGCGGCGGCGGCAGTGGTGGTGGTGGTGGTGGTGGTGGTGGTGGTGGTGGTGGTGGTGGTGGTGGTGGTGGTGGTGGTGGTGGTGCATGCCTTTAATCCCAGCACTGGAGAGGCAAAGCCAGGCGGAAGGATCTCTGTGAGTTCGAGGCCAGCCTGGGCTACAGAGTGAGATCCAGGAAAGGTACAAAGCTACACAGAGAAACCTAGTCTGGGGGGGGGGTTGTCCAATAAAATTTGCCAAGTCAGTTCCCTGACCCAAAATAACAGACAAGGCTTGACCAGAACCCAATAAACAAACACCATGAATCCTACATGAAAAAGCAGACCCAGTGTTTGCCCTAGTGAAGTTTAGTTAAGTTGGGACAAAGACATTACATGAAATATATCATTATATGTCACCACTGCAAGCACAAGAGAAATGTATATGGAGACTTGAGTGAACCCACCCCACTTCCATCAATTCCAACTACGTTTCATGATTAACTACTGTATCCCACCACCTAGCCCCACATTCTCATGTGTCTGCCCAGGCAAATCAGTAAAATTTCAGGGTACAGTCTGAGTTCTGGGCTACACATCAGGTGCCTCAGAGCACAGCACTTGAGTCTTTGACCAGTGCGCATCCTAAAGTGGGGTCCCCAAAGTCCCTCATATACTCTCCCTGAACAATGCCTTGGAAGACAGTGAATGGTGTCTGTCCAGGTCACAAAGTTTGTCTTTTTGTGATTTCAAAGCTGCTTTTTATACAAATACGTGTCACTCTTTAATTGCTCTGAAAAAAAATTTCAACAACAAAAATGGCATCTTTTGGAGACCTAAGTCTCTCTATAAACAATGGCTAAAGAGCTTGACTCTTTCTCTCCCCAGTATTAACATTTTATAAGTCAGAGACAACAAGGTAGCAAACCTAACAAGAAAAGATGATGAAAACAAACAAAAAGATAAAATTGGGGCTGGAGAGATAGCTTGAGAGCACTGGCTGCTCTTCCAGGTCCTGAGTTCAATTCCCAGCACCCACATGGTGACTCACAACCATCTGTAATGAGATCTGTATGCTCTCTTCTAGCCTGTAGGCATACATGCAGGGACTGTATGTCCCCAGACATACATGCACTGTATATTAAGCAAACAAACAAATAAATATTCAAAAAAAACTTAAAATTATTTTTATGTCTTTCTAGGTCACTGCATCCTTTTGGAGAAGTTTCTGAGAAAGGTCTGACAGGAGAATGTATCGCACCTTTGGACACAGCATGCAAGAGTTAAGCCTACCTCTCTGATATTCACTAGTTCTGTGACAATAGTGAATGCAGTTTTCCTATGTGAAAGGGGAAATGAGGCTGTGTATCTATCAGTTTAATGAAGAAGAAATAATAGGAGCCTTGTACTTGACAAATGAGTGCACACCTTGGCTGCCTCCTTTTCTCCAGAGCTAACAATAATAAAGAAAAGAGGATCCTATTGGTCATCTGAGAACATTACAAGATGTGGGTGTTTAAATATGGGTAATCTCCTTCATCAGCAAAGCTAGGGCTCATTCATATTAAAGGTGACTGTATGACCTGTCTTAAGTCATCCCACTTTAAGTACTCTGACCTATCATAAACACCAGAACATCCAGATAGCTAACCTCACTACTCAGAAACAGCGTAATTCATCAAATACAGTTCACGTTTGGCTCAAGAAAAAACTGAGGGGAATGCCACAAAGATGATTCCATAAGTACTGGTACTTGCCAATACTGGCACCAAGTCTAGTAACCTGAGTTCCATCACCAGAACCCACACAAAGGAAAGAGAAACAGGTTCCCATAAGCTCTCCTCTAACAACTAAACTAAATACTAAATAGATTAGAATTTGGCTGCGAAGGCCCAGATGCAAGGCCCAGGGATGGCAGAGTTTCTGCAATCATCAGCTAGATCTAAAAAATTGAGAGCTGAGATCAGCACATCCTCAGTCATTAGGTACTTGAACCAAAACAGAAAGTCAAGTATATACATAAAATATGTTTTGGACAACCTCTCGAAGGGCCCGAAGAAGAATTCACAGAGCCTACAGTAGAGCGTCACAGAATCCTCTTTTAAGCTGTGTAGGCCTGAGATACACTGCGGTGGCTGGGAGGACAGCCAAATCCAAGCCAGTGTCACAGGACAGCAGGCATGCTCCTTGGCAACAATGCTGCACAGGGTCTGAATGCAAAACACCTTCCTCTGAGTTCAAGGTCATGCTCACCCTTCCGCACAGACACCGCTTGTGATCCTCAGTGTATAAAGTGAGTAAACCACCACTCACGTTATTCTCAACTGTTCAAGAAGAGTACCAGGATGTTCTAAAAACTAAAAATAAAGAGTACCTTGGTTTTCCCAGTCTGATTTACATGCCAGCCAACTCCCCTCACATTCAGAAAGAGGAAGAGAAAAAAAAAAAAAAAAAAAAAACTCCTAAATATTCATCATCTGCTGTTATTTGGACACTTCTTTGCTCTCATCCATGAGAAATATGCGTACATGTGAGTCCATGGAAACGTAAAGAAGGCAGGCAAGAGGACAAGGTGGTCCAGAGAATGAGGCACAAAGACAGGACACCAACACGGCTGCTCTGGGCTCCAGCAGTAAGGGCTGTTTCTTATTAGATGAATACAATTGCAGAGCTGCAGAGGAAGTGCTCAGGGGCCTCATGGTCAGCCTTAGCCCAAATACACTGAAAACCTTTGTACTGTAGCAAGCCCATCTGGAATCAGTTAGGACCAGGCTTGTAGTTGGCTTTCTCTTAAAGATGAAAGGAAGGAAGAGAGAGAGAGAGAGAGAGAGAGAGACAGAGACAGAGACAGAGACAGAGACAGAGACAGAGACAGAGACAGAGA